TTTTTGATTATTACAAATAAAGCTCCTATGCTTTTTCTGATGTTATTGTAACTATTCCTGCTTTCTTTTGATCATTGTTTGCATGATACATCATTTTCTAGTCTTTTCTCTCATCTTATCTATATCATTATATTTGAAGTAAGTTTCTTATAAATAGTATACAGTTAGATCATGTTTTTTAAAATCCACTCTGTCAATCTGTCTTTTAATTGATGTATTTAGATCATTTACATTTAATGTAATCAATATGTTAGGGCTTAAGTCTGACATTGTACTTTTTGCTGTTTGTTCCTTCTGTGTTTATTTCTGTTTTATTTTTCTTGCCTTCCTATGGTTTGTTTGAGCATTTTAAAAATAATTCTATTTTGATTCATTTAGAGTATATTTGAGTAGATCTCTTTGTATATAGATCTTTTAAAGTGGTTTTACTAGGTACTGCATTATACTTACATAACATCACAGTCTACTGATGTTAATAGTTTACCAGTTTGAGTGAAATATAGAAACCTTACCTCCTTTAAATTTCCCTTTCCTCCTCATTTAAAATATAATTGTCTTAATTATTTTCTTTACATACTTTGAGAACCACATCTGACAATTTATTATTTTTGCTTCAATGATCAAATATAACTTAGACCAACCTGGGCAGCATGGTGAAACTCCACCTCTACCAAACAAAAACAAAAGACACAAAAATTAGCTGAGCGTGTTGGCATGCACCTGCAGTCCTAGCTACTTGGGAGGCTGAGGCAGGAGAATTGGGAGGTTGAGGCTGCAATGAGCCATGATAACGCCACTGTACTCTAGCCTGGGTGACAGAACGAGACCCTGTATATATAAATATAAATATATATAAAAATAAAAATAAATATAAATATATATAAATATAAATATATATACATTTATCTTAGAAAACTCTACAGGGGAAGGTAAATGTATTATATATATAATCTCTATTTTTCTGCTCTTTCTGTTATTTTTCCTTTCTGATGTTCCAAGATTCATTTCTTTACTATTAATATTTCAATAACTTCTTTTAGCCATTCTTTTAGGGTAGATCTGCTGGTGACAAAGTCTCTCATTTTTCCTTTGTCTGATATTGTCTCGACTTTTCCTTGATTCCTGAAGGATAGTCTCATCAGATACAGAATTAAGGGTTGACAGTTTTGTTTTTTTTAATACTTGAAAAGTTTTGTGCTGCTTTCTTCTGGCCACCATGATTTCTGATAAACCATTGTTGCCCAAGCTATTTCCTCCCCCCATAGATAAGGTGTTTTTTCTCTCACCGCTCTCAATATTTTTTCTTTGGTTTTAGCTTATTGAAGTTTGGTTGTGATGTGTCTTAATGTGAGTTTATTTAGGTTTATCCTATTTGAGTTTTACTTGGCTTCTTTAATCTGTAGGTTTATGTCTTTGGCAAAATTTGGGAAATTTTCAGTCATTTTTTTCTTTGAATACTTCTTCAGCTCCATCCTCTTTCTCCTTTTGTAGGATTCTGACTATTTGAATGTTGGATCTTTTGGTATAGTTCCATAGGTCCATGAGGCCCATTTGTTTTCAGTCTATCTTCTCTCTTGTTCAGATTGGGTAATTTCTATTGTTCTACCTTCAAATTCATTGCTTATTTCTTCTTTATTCTCCATTTTGCTGCTGAGCCCATTCGTTGTATTTTAAAAAAATTATTTATTATATTTTTCAATTCTAAAATTTTCCATTTGGCTCTTCTTTGTATCTTTTGTTTCCCGAGACTTTCTATTTTTTCACTTGTCTCAAATGTTTTGGAATTGCTTGTTCAATGGTTTTATTTTTTTTTTAAATGATGGCTGCTTTAAAATTTGTTAGATAATTCCAACATCTGTGTCTTCTCAGTGTTGGCATCTGTTGATTGTTTTTTCTCATTCAAATTGAGATTTTTCTGGTTTTTGGTATGATGAATGATTTTTAGTTACATCTTGAACATTTTTGGTGTTATGAGATTCTAGATCTTGTTTAAATCTGACACTATGCCCATGGGGGAAGGGAAATGACTTCTCATTACTGCCAGGCAAATGAGAGCTCAGGTTTCCCACTCATCCTCATTTGACACCCCAAGGGAGAGACATGGCTTGCTACTGTGGGGAAGAGATGGGATTTCAGGCTCTTCACTAGATCTCTATTGACACAGCCCTGGCTGGGAGGGGAGGGGTGCCTCATGATTGCTCCCCACATAGTCTCCACTGATACTGGAGCTGGAGAAAGCTTCATGACTATGAGATGGTAGGAAAGGTTATGGTTTCCACTCAGTCTCCTCTAATATCACACCAGTAGGGAGGGTAGGGGGTGCCTCATTACCAATGAGCAGAGGTGGAAGTCCACAATTCTAACGTGGCCTCCACTGACATCAGGATTGGGGTGAGAGATGGGGGTACTACTACCTGGCAGGCATGAAAGCCCTGGCTCTCCATTGAGTCTTCTCTGATACCACTTTGATAGGGGTAGAGGCTTAGGCTCTCTACTTGGCCTTTGCTGAAGGGGTTTTAGATTGGGCCACATTTCTTCCCTTTGATGTTTGGCTAGGGTGGAGTGGTAATCATCTAGAAGTTTTCTATGTACTAGGTTCTTGCTCTTTCTGGTCCTTTGACTAGGGATAACAAAATTTCCTTGGGGCTTTTAAATCTGCTTTCAGTGGCATTTCTAGGTTGCTGGCTTCTCCAGCATTCAGCCTGAGAGCTATGAAATAATCAGAGAACTCAAGGAACTCACCACTGTGTCATCCCTTAGCTTCAGAGGTTCCTAGTCAGTCTTCCTTCTTCTCTCCATCTTTCAGAGTCTACTTATGCTTGTTTTAGACACAATGTCCAAGATTTTTAGCTGTACTTAGCATGAAGAGTCGGGAGACATGAATCTACTCCATCCTGGTTCAGAACCAGATGGTTCTGGAACGTCTCTTGGTTCAGAACCAAGAGAACTTGGTTCTCTATAGTGTTTAACAAAATAGGTAGAGCTAAGCCAAGAGAAACAAGGTTTGGTTAGAAAGTAAAAAGAGATAGATCAGTTGAATATAATTTGGCATCTGTAGGATGAAACAAGAAAGTAAATGTTTGATTGTTTGCAAGGTTTTGATCAGCAAAGCATACTATGGTTGGCATGCCCTTGGTATTAGGGTTATTACCATAAGAGCAAAGCAGCTCAGCACAGCACATCCACCACTGCACATGTGATAATAGTAATAAATAGGAGGCAATGAGTGCACAAGCTTAATTTAGGCCTGGAAGAAGACTTCCCTGTGATACTACCTAGAGATAGTATAGACAACCCCAAGGAAGATACCATCCTTGGGGTTGGGTTGGGGGAAGGTCTAAGAGGGATGGGAGAAGGGGAAGGGGGTTTAGGCGTTTGATTGTATAAAACCAAACCTGTATATATGAGAATGTGGAGGAATGCAGGCCTTTTGTTTTTCCTGCAGATCCTGTTCAGGTTCCTGAAGCCACTAAGTAGTTGGTTTATCACTCCATGCCTAACAGAGTGCCTGGCGCATAGTAAGTGCTCAATACATATTTGTTGAAAGAAAGAATGAATGAATGAGTGAATGAATGTTTTTCTGTGTTACATCACTTATTTCAATAGCTGTTATGGACTAGAGATTCCCCAAGAATGAGGAAATGTTGGAGGCTTACCTTTCTGGGGCTCTGGATAAGTAACCTGTAGGGAACCCTCAAGACAGTGGTGCATAAGTTTTCATGCTCAAAGGGGTAGGCTCACCAAGGAGAAAGAAGAGATCTGGGAGTCAACAGTTCATCTACTGACCCATCAACCCATCTGTCCATCCACTAACCCACCCATCCACCTACCCATCTGCCCATGCATCCAGGGGTAGGGGCAGATTGTGCAGGTTTTCATGCCCAGAGGGTGGACCCATTGAGAGGGGAGAGAGAGAGATAGAGTCAACAGTTCATTTGTCCATCCATCCACCTACCTATCCAGTCATCCATCTTTCATCTCAGCCACGCCTCTGGCACCTCCCTTCCACAGCCATGCTTGATTTCTCTCTGTGCCCGCAGCGTCTGGATCTGGGTAAATGTATCCCTTAGTCAACAAATATTTATTGAGTGCCTACTATGTGCCAGGCATTGTTCTAGAAGCTAAGGTAAAACAGTAGATAGGACAAATGCTCTGTCCTCATGGATCTCAGTTTAGTGCTCAAAGTGTTTTAAAAACACAAAAGTGAGTCATACCTCTCATAGTTGATACACTACTGCTGTTGTTTCCCGAGGTCTATGCCAAGTGAAGCTGGCAGGTGCCAATGGGTGATGATGTCTTGGGGCCAAGACTTGGTGATAGTTTCTGGGAAGAAGGGGTGAAGAAAGGACAGTACCCACTGAAGAGCCAAGACTGGTGAGGATCCTAGCTACTGTTTCCTGAGCCCTTGTATATGCCCGTGCATACACAGTGTATGTTTATCTCTCTGTTCTCCAATCACCCTATGAGGCAGGCTTTTTTTTTTTTTTTTTTTTTTTTGGAGACACAGTCTCACTCTGATGCCAGGCTGGAGTGCAGTGGCACGATCTTGGCTCACTGCAATCTCTACCTCCCAGGTTCAAGCCATTCTCCTGCCTTGGCCTCCAGAGTAGCTGGGATTACAGGCGCACGCCACCACACCTAGCTATTTTTTGTATTTTTAGTAGAGACAGGGTTTCACCATGTTGGCTACGATGGTCTCAATCTCCTGACCTCATGGTCCGCCCACCTCGGCCTCCCAAAGTACTGGGATTACCGGTGTGAGCCACCGCACCCAACCGAGGCAGGCTCTTTTATCTGCTCTGCTTCCCCAAGGATGCACTGAGGACCCAGGAGCTGATGTGACTTACCCAAGGCCATGCGGGGAGGAAGTAGTAGAGCCAGGATTTGAATCCTGGTTTGTTTGGTTCCAAAGCCTGGGTTCTTAACTACTTGGCTCAAGTGCCGGGGAGGGTGGAAAGGGGTGGCAGGAGGGGTCTGCAGGAACTGGAGCCTGGCTTTAGGAGGGCTTTGGAGGGCTGTCCTGCATGCCACCTTGTTCCTAACACCTGCTTGTCCTTGAATGTGGAGCTGCCGTTGATGACTTCAGGCAGACCTACCAAGCCAGGTTCCCTGTTTCCTGCGCACAGAGAAGGCCATTTGGCAATGCAAATCATGTCTGCCCACACCCGCTATGGATCCTATAAGTTTACACAAATCACTGAGTAAAAATCACATATTGCTGTAATTTACAAACACCACCCCGTCATTCATAGCTGCAGAGGGAGATGGTGAGTGCTTGCAGAAAGCTGTCAACAGCTCTTGGACCCGCTGTGTGTGCTGCAGCTCTGGTACGGTGGCAGCCACTCAGTGCTGCTGTGGCCTCCACTGCTTCAGTGGTAGTTGGGGACCTGGTTCTGTGGTGGCTTTGAGGGTTGACCCAGTCCTGGCCAGTTTTCTAAACATGCATTGATTCCTGCCCACATCTGGAGGCCACTCCAAAAACCAGAGATGATTGTCATAATAAAACAATAATCACAGCTAACTCTTGCTGAGCACTTTCTATAGCCCCATGGCACAAAGGAATTTACCCTATGAATTCTCACAACCACAAGGATTGGGTACTTCATCATCCTCATTTTCTGAAGGTGGAAACAGGCTCAGAGAGGTTAAACGACTCACTGAAAATCAACCAGCTAGTAACTGGTGGAAACAATCCTAAACCTAACTGTCTGATTTAAACATCTGGTCTGGCTCTTAGAAAGGATGCTGCCCTGCTCCAGCCCTGCCTCCTCCTCCTGATATTCATCAAAGAGAGCTTATTCGGGGGAGCAGACAGTGTCAGTGGACTCAGAGGATCTGGGAGAACAAACTCAGGTCAGCTTACTGTGTGTTCAAAGGCTTTTGAGCGTGTAACCATTTGTGTGTTCACAGGTGGGTCCTTATATGTGTTTGAGATTTTGCACATGACCACATGCCCAAAGTTGTGTTGTGTGTGTCTTGCCTATGTTTGCCTCCTCATGTGTGTGTTTGCAAGCGAGTGGCTGGGTGCCTTTGTGTTCTTGTATATGTGTGTGTTCATGCTAATGTACATTAAGTGCATATCCATTTTTTACTGGGTACTTACTGTGTTCCAGGGACTACTGTAAGTGCTTCACAAGTATCAACTAATTTCATCTTCACAACAATCCTATGAGGAAGTACTATTAATAGCCTTATATCATAGATAAGGAAATCAAAGCACAGTGAGGGTGCCAAGTTGCTCAAGCATCCCTTCTGATTACAGAACACGTTTTCTTCCTTTACGTCCACCCTCCCTCATTTTTGGGCCATATGGCTTAGGTATTGATTCCCCACCTCCCCCATACCTGGCTGACCATGGGACCCAGGTGTGGCGAATCAGAGTCACTGTGATTGGCACAAGCAGCTGAACCAAGCAGCTGCTCATGAGAAGTGCCTGAGAGTAGTTCAGAGTCACTCAAAGCATGGTCTGCAGATAGCATCAAATACCTAGGTCCCACCGCTGAGCTCCAGAATCAGAAGCTCCAGAACTGGGACCCAGGAGTCTGTGCTGTCACAAGCCCTCCAGGTGACCCTTGTGTACTTGAGAGCCTGGATCATGAAGCCACACCATCTGGGTTGGGTTGGAATTCTAGCTTCACCACTCATTAGCTATGGACAAGTTATATAAGCTTTCTGTGCTTCAATCTCCTCATCCATGAAATGTAAATAACAGTAGTCCTGACCTTTTTAAGGATTAAGTGGGTTAAGGCATACAAGTGCCTAGAGCAGTCCCTGGCATATGACTTGTTGCAGCAGGGCTCACTGTCACTGTCACTCTGCAGGGATGAGCATGAGATCCAACCCTGCCCCATGAGCAGTCCTGCAGCTTTTGCTGGTACCATTAGGAACAAAGTGGTTCCTTCTGCTCGGGTAGGGTATAAGCCTGGAGCTGCTGGTGACCGCGTGCCTCCTCAGGGGGAGAGCTCGCCTGAGAATAAAATGACCAAGAAGGAAGTCAAGGGGCAAGGGGTCCCTGAGGACATTTTTGGAGCTCCTGGATCCATGCCTGGAATCACTGGACTTGTCAATTTCATGAGCAAATTCTTTTCCCTTTGGCTTCAGCCACTCTGAGTTGGGCTCCTGACAGTTGCATGTGGACAGCTCCTGCCAGGTGCCTCATCTGACTTAAACAAAGGAGTGACTGCAGGTGAGTCCAAGGCCATCAATGAGTTGAAGCAGTGCTGGAATTCCTAATCCCCAGTCTGTCACCTCTTATTGGCTGCCTTTTCCAGACAAGGCAACCCCAAACAGCATCTCCCAGGCCTCAACAGTCGGTTCTCTGGGGCGGGCATCTGTAGGCTGACCCTGCACATTGAATGTGCCGTTGCGTTTCTTTGTCAGCGTCACCGTTTGCTTGGGAGGGGTGGTAGAGATTCCTCCTGGAGTCCAAGCTCTGCATTATTCAGTCTCATCATGATCAGAGGCACCTTAGGGGCTTTTTGATGAGGCTCCTTGGCCTTTAGAATGTCAAACAGACAGTTCTCTGCCAGGCTCTATCATGGCGATGCCAAGGCACCAAGCCTAGAGATGGGCTGAGGTTGGAGGCTTCGTAGGCAGTGATTCTGTCCGCCTCCTTTCCTGATTTGTGTGTCGTGTGGGGCAGGGTCAGAGACTGTTTTCTACCTTAGTTTCCCCAGCTTGCAGGCCTCTGGTTTCCTGCTTCTGTCTCAGCTCGACCAGGCCGTCTCTGCCTTCTGCCCTCATCCCCATTGGTCTTGGTCTGCCCTACCTCTTGCCCAGTTTCCCGTGGCTCTCTAGACCCCTCCCTCCACTCCCATGGTCCCCATATTGCCCCATTTCAAGTTCCCACCTTCTCCCCGTCTCCCAAGCTCCCAGCCTCCTTGAGCCTCCTCCATCTGACCTCTCTCCATCTCTCCCAGGCCCTGCAGCTCCCCCACTCATGTCAGTGTCCCTGTAACTCCTGTTCTTCTCTCCCCAGGGTTCTTTGAGTTTCTCTATCCTCTCTGCCTCTCCCTTCCTCCTCTCCCTCAGCCCTGCCTCAGGCAGCCACCCCACACCTGTCTGCCTCTCCTCCCCTCCTCCCCCCACCTCCTCCAGATGGCCCGCTGCCAGTCTGGTACCAGCCGGGTTGCCATGGGAACCACTGAGCGGCTTAGGAAGCTGCCATAGATCTAATCACAGGCTGTGAGGTTTCAAGGAACAGCTCTTTTCGGTGCTGACAGCCGATTAGGCTGATGCTGGGAGGTGGGGGGTAGGGGGAACAGGAGCCAGGGAAGATGTCAGCCCAGGCAGGGCTGGCCCTCGAGGCACCTGGGAGCAGGAGGCCAGATCTGTCCAGCCCATGCTGTCTGTGCCTCACTGGCACTCTCAGACCCTCTGGAATTTTCCTGAGGAGATCATTGATGCTACATGTATTCTCTCCTTGCTTCCCTTTCACTCACATTCATTCATTGGTTTGTTGATTCATTCATTCACTCACCAAACCCTTCCTATTGGTCGTGTACCTTCGAGGCCTTTCCAGTGCAGTGGGAGAGACAAACCCCTACACAAACTCCTGCCCCCGGTGGGCCCAGTGTTCTGACTGTGGGTATCCAGGGCTGTGGGATCCCCAAGGAAGGCAGGAGGCCCGTGCTACTTGGGGAGAGTGAGGGGGCCTGAGGATGCGCTTCACAGGGCAGTTAGATCTGCATCTCCATGAGGGAGGAACAGGAGTTTGTCAGCCAAGAAGGGGAAGGCTCTCCCGAACCTGCAAGTTCCACCTCTGAAGGTGACCACGGAATCTGTTTTTGAGTTTCTCTCCCAGGCGATTCAGACACAGACCAAAGAGTGAGGCCATGTGGAGTCACTACTGATGGAGACATTTCTGTGGGGGCTGTGGAGTGCCCCCAGAGCAGACCCTTTCACAGCTGTGCTGAGGACGGCCTGGGGAGTAACCCCACTTCAGGAAACATAGCCCAAAGTTCACAGCAGCCAAGTCCCCTGGGGTTGATGGCCTGTGTTTCTGGAAGGCAGAAGGTGGGGGATTCTCTGGGGGAGTTGTTCCCACCTGCTTACACCTCCTGCACCCCATTTTAGTTGTGTAGCCAGCAGGGCTGTGCCAGAGCTTTGCGGGCCAGAAGGGCCTGCCAGCTTGGTCTAGTCTTAGATGGCTCCCCTGGTACCAGGCTTTTGGTTTTTCTCATCTAAACCAGAGACTGTGTTTGCACATAATTTGCATACATTTGCATATGGTGTCGGTGGGGCCCAGCATAACATGCAGAAAACACATTTTTCTCGCCAGGGTGCTTTGCAGCCTGGATTAGAGCCCAGGTGCGCAGAGACCAGGGGCTATAAAACTCTTCCCTCCTTTGGCCCTTGATGCTCCTCCAACGCACTCCTTCCCGCACCCCTCCCCACGGCGGAGCTTAGACCCCAAGTCAGCGGGTCTGGGAAAGCCATTCCAGTAAGGAAACCTGGATTGCTGTGGGTCTGCTTCAATTATACTTGCTGTGTGACTTGGGAAGGTCACTTTTAGTGTCTCTGCCTGCCTTTGTGTGAGTCTAGGTTTTACTGAAGATCGGAGGAGGAGGGTACAGAAGCGTCACTTCATTCCTTCCTTCCCTCCTTTATTCATTCATCTGATTCTGTTCATTGTGTGCTTATAATGTACCAGGCCCTTGGTTCTAGAAGGAGCCAAACTAGCCATGTTCTCTGCCCTCTGGGGGTTTCGGGGAGACTGGCTTCAGTCAAATGACCACACCAGTAAATGTACAATCAGTCTTTATAAGTGCTACACAGAGACGTATGTGGTGCTACGTGGAAGCCCAGAATTGGTCTGGAAGGTCATGGATGACTTCCTAGAGAAAGCATCCTTCCACTGAGATGTTATGTAGATAAATAGGGCCAAGAAGAGCTTTCCACTTAGAAGGAACAGCACTTGCAAAGGCCCTGGGGTGGGAAGGAGCAGGATGAATGTGCAGAGGGAGAGGAAGGCAGTGTGACTGAGTGGAGAGGGGTGTGACGTGAGAATACGCAGGAAGGTAGGGCAGACTCCTCAGGACTTTTCTGGCCCGTTAAGGAAGGTTGTCTTTGAGACAGTGGTGCCTTTATTCTGAGAGCAGTGGGAACCACAAAGCGAGGAAGTGACATTAACAGGTGTGGAGAAGGGGTGGAGTGGAAATGAGAACACCGGTCGGGAGGCTGTGGTGGTTGTCCAGGTGACACAAAGCAAGGGCTTGAGTTAGGGTCATGAGAGTGGAGATGGAGAGGAGGGGAAAAAGTCTTGAGATCATCAGGCAGTAACATAAGCAAGGCTTGGTGGGAGATGGAGGACAGGGGTGTGAGGAGGTGTTGACAATGACCTCTAGACTTCTGGACAGACTTCTGGACGAGAAGATGAGCCATTGACTGAAGTGGTGAACGTGGGGTTGGGAGAACCCAGGTTTGGGGGTGAGGAAAGGAACTGAATATGGTTAAGTTTGCATTTCCGTTCAAGCATCCTACTGGTAGCTGGGTAGAAGGGAAGAGGCAGATAGAGGTGCTATGTCCTTTCCCCCCCAGTCCCCCAGCCACAGGAAGGGGGGCTCCCTGCATCCTGCACCTTCCAGAAGCACCCAGCCTCATCTGTCTATAGATTAGTGTTTTAGACTTATTTCTAATCTAAGAGTAAGCAGAACATTGGGGAATGCAATGAGCACCTTCCTTTACTATGTGTACTGCATCCTCCCTATATGGGAGTTGTATTTTCTGAATTCCAAGACAGCACCCACAAAGGATTCTCAGGCTTGTTCCAGGAGTAATGTGCATTATGATTTGCATGCTGTATAGGAACTGGGAAAACCAGAAGGGAAAGGAGGAGAAAGGAAAAAGGGACT